ATGAGACAGAAAAAGGGATTCTTATGAACTAAAGGAATTAACGCTTAACCCCTTCACTCCCAGAACTGTGCATAAAAGTGTTTAACTTTCAGCTACTTTTCAAAACAACATTTAGTGCAAAAAATTAACACTTAACCATATTCCTATTTCAGGAACGATTACCTTCCTGTAGATGAACACATAATTCTACTAGAAGTCACTGTTAGCATAACTATTCCAGAGTTTAATATATATTGTCGTAACATTTTTGTGAGGTTTTGCTTAGAAACAGTTTTTTTGTATTTTTTAAATGTAATTGTATTCACGTAAGCATATACTTATATGCTGACATTGTTTATTTCAGCTGTACTACTTGTAATGTCTTCAGGAACCTTATAAATACTTGCAAGTGGCTATTTTTTTGACAATCTTTGTTTTTTTCAGTGAGTCAAGAAGAAAGTAAACAATATGCAGTGACAGCTACATGTAAGTAGCAGACAAATGAAAGAACAACACTAGGTGTAAGTTTTGTAAGTGTAAGCTTAGACATAACAAGTGCAAATCGAGCATGCATTTAAACATCTAGTTGACGTACAAACTGAATTTGATAGTTTGGAGATAAATTGGCTGAGGTTGGGCTCGGTCACAGTGTTAACTGTGGGAAGTTGTAGCTCCCGGTCAAAATGGTAGTATGAGTGCATCATGTGCACAGACAGTGGGATTGGTCATTACTGAGCAGATAGGTTAATAGGGGACAAGGTAAGGGTTTATCAGTGTGGGCAGCCAAAAAGGTTCAGGAAGGAGAAAGGATAAAAAAAAAGTTCCTGACACTCTCCAAGGGGTCCAGACCTAAGAACATCACTCAGAGTATCCTTCAAGGGCAGCTGTAAATGATTGCATGTTTTAAATCTTCCCTACCCTGGCAACCCATTGCTGGAAGGTTGGCACATCCGTTTGCTTCTAAAGTGTGGGGATCAAGGATTTTGCTGCATTAAGCAAATGTTGTCAAGAACTATTTTTTTTCAAGGTCCATTGTGAATGCTGGAGCACAGGAAGAAGTTGGAGAGGCAGGTCGGAGTGGGTAATCTCCTTGATCTTAGAGTTCACCATTTCCTAAAAGTGGGAGATACCTGGGCAGGACCACCAAATGTGGAGAACTGTGCTCACTCCAGACCCACAACGTCAACACTCCTCAGGCAGACCTAAGGCAGTACAGAACATCAGGGGTTCTATACCAATTGGACAGTAGTTTAAAGCTCATCTCTTGGAATTTAGAGCTGATTGAGCATTTCTGCATCAAAATTAAGATTTTATCCCACTCTTGTTCAGTGAGCATCACCCCCTATGTGTAGGGAGCAAGCCTTCTGCCAGGTCCAAATTATGAGTAATGTGTGTTAGAGGGCAAGGTGATGTGGACAATTGTTGTGTGTAGCAGAGAGGGTATATCTTCAGGATGGCATCGATCATAGGGTTACTGGTGTGTAGTAAGCTGAATATTATTCCACCTTACCAGAGTAGTGATGGGATTTTGCTACCTGCATGTGTCGTTTCCATGTGAAGCCATATTTTCCAAGTTGGGTAGGTGTGCCAATCGGAAAATCTAAGTGTGAGGCCTGATGGCACATAATTATGGATGGGAGACTGCATTCCTGATTTTAAGGTAGTTCCAGTTGAGATTTACTGATTCCATATGAGCTGCCGGATAGCAGGGAAAATTGATTGAAAAAACACTCTGGGGAACACAACCGGTATGGTTTAAGTGGTTATTTTTATGTCTGTATTTATCTACTGTATTTGAGAAAACTGTAGTTTTTTTTGTATATTATTATTATTTCAGGCCCACTGTGAAATAACATAAATTAGGTTTTTATTCACATTTTTTGTAGACGGTGAAAAATAAACATTTTTAAATCGACATAATTGTAATTTTAAAGTTGATGTGAAATATAATGAATACACAAAAGACCTGTTTTATTATACATGTATGCATACCTTATTTCAAATAAATGTTATGGTAATATTTTTTTCAAACAAAATGTGATTAGTAGTGAAAGGGTTACCCTGACAATAGCAAATAAAAATGCAAAATAAAATTGGTCCTCTGTTCAAACTCTTTGGTGGCAGCAATGGAAGCAATCAACCCACATATACAAACAATACCAAAAATAGTTACCTACACATTATCCTTTGTACATTTAAATAACATCGGTTTTTAGTACCACTGAAGATGGCTAACCCCATAACCACATAATCTTACTTAACACTGAAGTTGGGGTTCTATTGCCAGTCACTTCTGCTGTCCTGCTTCTTCTCTGCAGGTCAGTACAAGGAAGGGTTAGCCAGGTGATCGGTGATAGGCTAAGATTGTTAGCTGAAGCTTGGACACATTGGCCCTGCCATCTGTCTTACAACTTTAACAATGCTATGCCAGGTGGGGTCTACCATTTTGCAGGGTTGTATTTGTGAGCAGTGTTTGTGCATTTCAATGTAAGCATGTTTTTATCTAGAGTATACAGGGAGTGCAGAATTATTAGGCAAATGAGTATTTTGACCACATCATCCTCTTTATGCATGTTGTCTTACTCCAAGCTGTATAGGCTCGAAAGCCTACTACCAATTAGGCATATTAGGTGATGTGTATCTCTGTAATGAGAAGGGGTGTGGTCTAATGACATCAACACCCTATATCAGGTGTGCATAATTATTAGGCAACTTCCTTTCCTTTGGCAAAATGGGTCAAAAGAAGGACTTGACAGGCTCAGAAAAGTCAAAAATAGTGAGATATCTTGCAGAGGGATGCAGCACTCTTAAAATTGCAAAGCTTCTGAAGCGTGATCATCGAACAATCAAGCGTTTCATTCAAAATAGTCAACAGGGTCGCAAGAAGCGTGTGGAAAAACCAAGGCGCAAAATAACTGCCCATGAACTGAGAAAAGTCAAGCGTGCAGCTGCCACGATGCCACTTGCCACCAGTTTGGCCATATTTCAGAGCTGCAACATCACTGGAGTGCCCAAAAGCACAAGGTGTGCAATACTCAGAGACATGGCCAAGGTAAGAAAGGCTGAAAGACGACCACCACTGAACAAGACACACAAGCTGAAACGTCAAGACTGGGCCAAGAAATATCTCAAGACTGATTTTTCTAAGGTTTTATGGACTGATGAAATGAGAGTGAGTCTTGATGGGCCAGATGGATGGGCCTGTGGCTGGATTGGTAAAGGGCAGAGAGCTCCAGTCCGACTCAGACGCCAGCAAGGTGGAGGTGGAGTACTGGTTTGGGCTGGTATCATCAAAGATGAGCTTGTGGGGCCTTTTCGGGTTGAGGATGGAGTCAAGCTCAACTCCCAGTCCTACTGCCAGTTCCTGGAAGACACCTTCTTCAAGCAGTGGTACAGGAAGAAGTCTGTATCCTTCAAGAAAAACATGATTTTCATGCAGGACAATGCTCCATCACACGCGTCCAAGTACTCCACAGCGTGGCTGGCAAGAAAGGGTATAAAATAAGAAAATCTAATGACATGGCCTCCTTGTTCACCTGATCTGAACCCCATTGAGAACCTGTGGTCCATCATCAAATGTGAGATTTACAAGGAGGGAAAACAGTACACCTCTCTGAACAGTGTCTGGGAGGCTGTGGTTGCTGCTGCACGCAATGTTGATGGTGAACAGATCAAAACACTGACAGAATCCATGGATGGCAGGCTTTTGAGTGTCCTTGCAAAGAAAGGTGGCTATATTGGTCACTGATTTGTTTTTGTTTTGTTTTTGAATGTCAGAAATGTATATTTGTGAATGTTGAGATGTTATATTGGTTTCACTGGTAATAATAAATAATTGAAATGGGTATATATTTGTTTTTTGTTAAGTTGCCTAATAATTATGCACAGTAATAGTCACCTGCACACACAGATATCCCCCTAACATAGCTAAAACTAAAAACAAACTAAAAACTACTTCCAAAAATATTCAGCTTTGATATTAATGAGTTTTTTGGGTTCATTGAGAACATGGTTGTTGTTCAATAATAAAATTAATCCTCAAAAATACAACTTGCCTAATAATTCTGCACTCCCTGTATGTGTGCATGTAGGGGTGTATTTGTAAGTGCTGTTGCCATTGGAATGCATTAGTGTAGCCTATTATTGTAGGGGTGTGTTTGTATGTAATGATAGCTTTTAAATGCAGGTGTACTTTTGTGTGTAGTATTGGTGTTTGAGTGAAGGGGAATGTTTTGTTAATAATTTGGATTTTGAATGCACTAGTGTGTTTGTATTTAATATTTGTGTTGGATTACAGGAGTGTGTTTGCATGTTGTGTTGGTATTTGAGTGTTTGAATGTATGCACAAGAGAGCAGCACTCTCCTCTTGATCCTCTCCCTTCATATTGCCTCTGTCACCTCCTCCTCCATCCCTCCATCCCTCCCAAGCTCTCTGTCTCTTCCTCCTAACCAGTCAATATAAAATAGGGCCCTGTTGTGCTCTTGAAAGTTGGAAATGCCTGACCGGGCCATCTGGTGGGCTCCCAAAACTAGCTGCACCGACACCTATTTCACCTGCCACTGTTTGTAGATGTGTTAGTTTAAAGCTTTGGAACCCATAATCATAATCAGTTATTGCAGAAAACTCTGGTTCTTCTATACTAGGTTTTTAACTCCTCTGTGTTATGGTGAAATCTACAATAACTATGACTCTGATCAACTACTGCAAAAAAAAATGTAAAAAAATGTAAACTGTTCATTGGTGAGGGCAACACATTTTTAGATAAAACCACCTTACTCATAATAATTATATAAACAGAGATTAGTAAGCATATTTCAGTTTTACATATTAAACATTTTATGTTTTAAGTTATAGTAACCATTTAATGTTTTTTTTTTTTTGTAGGAGAAGGACCATAGAGCACCAATGTAATATCTTCACATAATGTGTGAAGATAACCAAACTGAGATTACAGAGTTTATACTACTGGGGTTTCAAGATTTTTACAATCTTAAAATTATATTATTCATGCTGATTTTAGTAATCTACATTGTGATACTAAATGAGAATCTACTCATAATTGTCTTGGTGACAACCATCGACCATCTCAAGTTTCCGATGTTCTTCTTCATAAAACACTTGGCCATAGCTGATGTGATATTTCCTACCATCATTGTTCCATTAATGCTGGATGTTATATTAAAAGACAAAAGAGGAGTATCTGTAGCTGGATGTATAAATCAACTACACTTATGTGGTGTTTCTGGATTTTCACAATGTTTTCTTCTCGCCGCGATGTCCTATGACCGATATGTGGCCATCCTCAAACCATTACGCTACAGTTTAATAATGAATCCTAATGTTTGTCTTGCACTGGTTGCTGGGTCCTGGTTAATAGTTTGTATTTTCATTTCAAGTGGAATGATTTTGATTTGGCAGTTACAGTTTTGTGGTAAAAGTTACATTAACCATTTCTATTGTGATCTTGGCCCTATAGTAACATTGTCCACTTCTGACATCTCCAGCTTGGTATTACTTAACTTATTTACCTCTATCTTTATGATTGCTGTCCCATTTGTGTTTATAATTATTACTTATGTTTTCATTTTCTTTTCCATTTTAAGAATTCCTTCCGCAAGTGGCCGGAGAAAGTCTTTCTCTACGTGCAGTTCCCACCTCACCTCTGTCTGCACTTTTTATATGTCTATGCTTTTAGTGTATGTGATCCCACCTGATGAAGACAATATCAACATAAATAAGTTCAGATCTTTGTTATACATTTTAATGACTCCACTATTAAATCCCATTATATACAGCATGAGAAACAAGGAATTAAGGGGTGCTCTGGGAAAATTGCTTAAGAATAATAGCATAAATCACTAACAATACAGACAAGAAGGGACAAGGGGCATACCAGAGTAATACTTTAAATATGCCAGGTAAATTAACAGATCATAAATTGTGAACATGATACTATTAGAATATTCTGCTTGGTTTATCTTTTCATGAATTTTGTTACAAAGAACGCCATTCATCAATAGTCACAAGCATAGATAAGAAAAAAACACATTAAGAACTTTTACACAATATTTGTTTTTTTGTTTGTTTTTGTGTTAGTTATGCAAACCTAAGCTTTTTTTATATATATATGTAGCTTTAAGTTCACTTAAAGGTTATCTTGAGTTAAATAAAAAATTAGCAAAACTAAGTTCAAGATATTTTCGAATACAGCCAACTGGCTCTATCAGTTGTCAATTACTTAGTATTGAATGTTTACTAATTACCCTTTTCGGAGCCTATCCCTAATCTAATGATATTCTTTATTTATTTCTACAGCGTTATGTAAGGTGTTTGAGAGAAGTAGGTCATCTAATTAGGGAAAGGCAGGGGTGCAAACACTGAGTCCTTTTTTCTAGAATCTGGATATACCCTGTTCTTTGCAACTTATTTTGACTTTTAGTTATTATATTTAAATAAAACATATCTATTTTTTTTATCCAGAATCAATAATATTTTGTAATTGTATTATTATGACTAATATGATTTAGAATGTTTATATTATTATGTTTTTGTATAAAGGATCACTATTTTCAGTGCTGTAAAATGGGAATTTTACCAAAGGAAAGAAGAGAAGACAATGCAATATATAATTTTACAAACTGCTAAAAAGGAAAGAAGACACATAGTACATTTATACAAAGTGCAACTCGAGATGGCATCAAAGCATTTCATGTAAATTTTGAACACTGTAACTTTAAAAGCCCAAACCCACATCCATCCCTGTAACAAGAATGCCTTTTAAATTTGAACGCTGCAGCTTTAAAAGGTACGAACGGAGATGCTGAAGATATGCAACTGGACTTCTTTCATTTTGTTACTCAATTATTATTGTACTATAATGATGCTACCATTGTTACATATAGTTTACTACTGTAATATGTTGTACTTACTGTTATAATAATCTGGCTGTTAGAATTTTGATTGGCAAATATGTAATTGTTTATAACAAATGGCTAGCATGCTCCATTCCTCCTCCTTCCCCCCCCCCCGCTTGCCACTCCCAGCTGTAAATTCCTTTTAAGTAACTGTCTTTTCTCTCTTCTTTAGACCCAAACCCACATCCATCCCTGAAACAAGAGGGCCTTTTAATTTTACTTGGCCCTATCTACCCGCCCTCCCCGGTTCCTTCTAACTATACAGCATTTCCTTCAGCTGTTTGGTGCCACAATCAATCACCTCCCTATTACCTTTACATATTATCAGCTGCTGCATTTATACCATTAACTCTCTATGCCATCACATACAAATTAATCTGCTACCTCCTGTCTCATCTCCCCATTTTAACTTTTAGATTGTTAGCTCACGGTCAGTTTCCTCTACCTGTGGTATCGGTCTGATTTTGTTGTGTTTGTCTTTTTCCCAATTGTACAGCATTGTGGAATATGTTGGCACTTTATAAGTGCCTGTAATAAATAAATAAGATAATGGAGAGTGAGATAAAATGCAGCAAGGGTTACTTTAAATCTGCAACTTTTTAAGGCAGGAGACACTCACACACAGCTTTGCCCTGTATGGGATTCTGTCATATACTTACACACTTCCAGTGTTTCTCCGTTGGGATTGTGTAGTCTGTGAAATGTTACAAACACGGTTACTCACTAAAACGAGAATTCAAAGTGAATTTAAAGTAAATTTTAAATTTAAGATTACAATAGCTGAACTGGAAAAACTCAGTAATGCTTTTGATTTGTCTATTTTGGAGCACAATTTGATATTCACTTTAATTTCACTATGAATCGTCACTTTAGTGAAAAACCCTGAATCTGTCAGGACTTTTTTTATAGGTCAAAATGACGTAATTGTTCTTAACTTTTCTATCTTTAGTTCATGAAAAGTTAAATTTAAGGTTACTGAGTAACAGCTTTATAATTGCACAGTAAAAACTGCCATGCATTTTCCCTGAAAACAATTGCTAATAACTGTTTCACCAATAAAGCCAACCGGAATCAGAATTCAAAGTAAAACATTCTATGTACAACTTAGCAATTAACATGATACCTAAAGAAAAAAATCAGGGCTCCTGAATTCCAAGACTCCCAAGTGACCCTATTTAGGTGGAAAAGTCCTTATTTTCTGCCCACACCCCTCTGTCCATCTTTTCTGTCCTAATGTCCCTATGTACATTGGCTTCCAGTTAGATATAGAGCTCAATTTAAGATTCAGGTGTTTACTTACAAGTCCCTACATAATGCTGCTCCAGCCTACCTATCCTCCCTAATACACAAGTATGTCACGCCAAGGCCCCTGAGCTCTGCCGAAGACTATCCTCTCTCCGTACTCCTACATCTTATGCTCCTCTCCAAGACTTGTCCAGTGCTGCAACTTTTCTGTGGAACTCCCTTCCCTTCTCCGTAAGACTTTCACCCAGTCCCCACTCCTTCAAAAAATCTTTGAAAATACACTTTTTTTAAGGAAAGCACATCAATTAAACTATTAGCAGGTTTTCATCCCCACACCCTGACTCCTCTCCGGCAACTCAAAAATAACCTACTGAACCATCAGTGAATATTTTTCTAGCATCCTACTTTGTTACCCCTACTTATACCCTTTTTTTACCATATCCCACTGCCTCTAGCATGTAAGCTGATTGAGCAGGGCCCTCAACCCTTCTGTTCCTGTGTGTCCACTTTAATTAGGAAAAGGTAGGCACACCCAGTCAAATGCTATAAGAATAAATATCCGGAAACAAAATAGATGAGAAATAAGATAGGGTGCTCACTCAAAAGGCCCTATTCCTCAAGGACCAAATAAATATACAAATGAGGAGCACAACCATAAAAATAAAAAGACACTTTATTAAATGAGTCCACAATAACAGGTATCTCAATATGCATATCAGACAATTATAGCATAAATCACATAATAACAGTACAAAATAATATGAGAAAAAAATTCTGCAATTACATCCAAACAGGAATGATGGCAAAAAATTCATAAGTAAAATAATTACTACTAAGTCATTAGGATATCCGGACACAACAACCCAAATGTGGTGAACAGAACCTTGCCACTGGTTCTTGGAGGGGCCTGCTCGCTAGCCTCTTGCCCCAGGACTATGGCCCCTGTAATAGACCTGGCTAAAATACTTTAAAAAGACTCTGTTCCCAAATGTTGGAGATGCGGCTTAAGGGAAGGGACCATGACCCACATCTGGTGGGAATGTAGCGAGATCAAACCCCTGTGGTCACATGTACAACAACTACTGGGAAAAACATTAGGTTACACGGTTGACCTCACACCGATGGTGGTGATCCTATTGCTCTTCTCACCCACATGGAAAAAAGGAGCCAAGAAACTGGCCTCCACTATCATATTAGCGGCTAGAAACCTCATTGCTCTACATTGGCGGAGCATATATTGTCCAACACACAAAGAACTACTGAACAAGATATACCAATTTTATAGATATGAAGTACTTTCCTCAGATTCCCATGCAAAAACACGGCTCACAGAACAGCTGTGGGAACCATGGCTTCCAATGATACACTACCATCCACCATAACCTAACTAGACCAATGCAGAAAGCTGATTAGACAGAACGAACCATCCCTAAAGAGACAACCTACACACACTGTAAGAGACGATACCATATGACCCAGACTAGGGACACGCAATAATTAAGTAGGATGGTGTATATATGTGTGTATATATGTGTGTATATATGTCTGTATGACTATTTGGAATGGCGTAGATATCTACAGATGCACAATTGTAAACTGCTTACTGAACGTTTATGTTCTCAATGTGGTGTATTCATCCATGCCAACTTCATTATGTATGTATATCAATGTCGACCATATGTATGTTACAAAGTGAAGAATAAGATGTCTTGACCGAGTCGTTTCCCCCCCTCCCTTTCTTTTTTCTGTACCCTCAATTTCCTTTTCTGAAAATAAAAATTTTCAAATTGAAAAAAAAAAAAGACTCTGTTCATGCAATTGAGAATATATGGTTCGGTTACCAAACAACCACACGAACCAGAGACCACCCTGGAGCTTGTTAACACCTATTAACAACTTGGAATGTTTCTCACCACAGTGCAATTCCTATGGACAACCACGAGGTGATGGCCATCTTGTTTGCATGAAAGCAGGCAGCGGTGTTTGGGCATGAATCTCATGGAACTAAAATCAGACACAGAAACCTCCGAACACCGCTTGACTTCCATCACCGCCTGTGTTCTAGAAGGGCACTGTTCGGTGAAATCATTTGTCTGGATAAGGAGAACAACCTCCAGGGTAAGACTGTTGACTCTGTTTGGTAGTTTGTTCATTTTCAAACTACCAAACTAGACCGACTGC